ACAGGGTCGCTATGGGTCGGAACCGACTCGACGGCACTTAACAACAACAACAACACACCGCACCCAGGGCCTATTACAAGCCTGGTCCCACTCAGTTTTCCAGCCCTATCCACCCAGGCCCAAACCATTGGTCACAACAGATTTCCTGCCATTTTACAAACAAATGGAGTGCCACACCTGTCCAGCCCTGCATAACTATGATTTTTAGTCACAAGGTCAAGAAATGTCCCAACTGCTCAAAAGGATTGGGAAAGAAGATGGAATGGAAACAGGAAACACAGGGCGGAAGTGGCATTCCTTTGGGGGCACTGCAATTAATGAGATGAACCAAAATGTGCATGAATTGTTGAATGGAAACCTGATAATGTGCTCTGTAAACCTTCACCTAATTCATAACAAAAAGTTAAACAGTAAATGAAATAAAATCACAGTATTTGATTTAATAAGAACGCATGGTGTGGAACTGTAGGATAAGCACTGGACTGCTAACCGAAAGGTCAGTGGTTCAAAACCACCACCAGCTGCTCCCAGGAAACCCTACCCAGGGTCTATGAGTGAGCCAACTCCATGGCACTTAACAACAACACCATCATTTGATTTAAATGAGAATGAAAAGAATGTCCCAACTGGCTATCTTTCAAGTTCAATTCACTTATTATCTCCTCTTCCTGATGGAACTTAATTAATCCCTTCCTTCTCATTTCATCCCATACACTCTTCTACCAGGACTGCAACTCATGTCAACCCCAAACCCATTGCTGTCCAGCTGATTCTGACTCATAGTGAACCTATAGAACACAGCAGAACTACCCCATAGGACTTCCCCCTGAATTACCTGATAGCAACATTCTCAAGGCTAGCCAATGGGCTTACACAGGAAGTGTCATGGCTTCCAATTTCTGACTGATGGGGCAGAAATCCACCAAAAGGGCTTCATGCTCCTAACGCACAGTTCATCAGGAGACCACTTTGCATATGGCTGAAGTCAAGTAAGTGAGAGAGACAGAGAGCTATCACAATCTCCAGCACATGCTGGAGAAACACAAACCCATGCCAGAAATAAAAAAAAACTACAGGATGAACAAATTCATAGGTCAAACTTTAGGCTTAGTAACTTGGACCCTAAAGCAGGAAATATCAGATATTCCATGTTGGCTATCAATATTGACATCAGTACACTGTGTGCTGTTTAGAAGGCCATGCTGTTATGGTTTTCATGAGTTCCTTGGTCAGAAGATACTGGAGAATGATAAAGGCCTCTGTATACCTTAGACCACTTGACTACTAGAAGAAAAGTTGGTGGTCTGAACGTCATAAAACAGGCCTGATGATCTGCTTCCAAAAGGTCACAGACATGAAAACTCTATGTTTAGGGTCACCGTAACTTGGAATCTATTCCGCAGACAGGAACCACCACCTTTTTGATATTTTCATAAAACCCCTAATCTACACTTCCACGAACTGTTGAACATAAGCAAATGAACTACAGAATTTTGTTTACATCCCAAAAGAGTTTATCCAGATGGGGGAAAATGAATCATGCAACCCTACCACCCTCCTACCAACACACATACACGGAAACAAAACTAAACTAAAATTACACTTATTAAATTACATAGTGGGTGATGGTGGTGTTAAGTGCCATCGAGGTGGTTCCAACTCATAGTGACCCTGTATAGAGTCCCCAAAGAGTGGCTAGTGGGTTTGAACCACCAACCTTGTGGCTAGCAGTTCAGTGCTTATCCTACAGCAGTACATCAGTACTCACATAATGTGTAGTTCTTTATATTTGTATTTGTCGTGAAAACTCTAAACAACTCAAGACTCCATCCAAGGTAATCACAGGTCTATAGTCAACTGTCCCCTGGCTGCTTCATTACTAAAGGTTGGCCGACTACAGAGCTACTGTCATGTGAATAAATGAACGATGCTATTCTCATTGCACAAGCAGGTCTATGGTCAGTCCTAATTATTTCTTATATGCGAAAAAAGACCTCATATATGAAATATTAGGACTGGCCATAGACCTATCTCCCAAAGGGATGTGCCAAAGGGTGCCCAGCTAGTAAGTGGCAAACCAGAACTAGCGCTCAAGTCTTCTTACTAGTCTGTCCTCTTCCATTCCAGCAAGATCACTTTACTCCCACACATCAAAAGAAACAACCCTTCTGGACTTCAGGGCTTCTTGGGCTGCTTGGTTAAATTAAAGAGAGAAAAAACAAACAAACAACCGTTGACAGACGGATAAAAACAAAGTTACTAGATAGCGGCTGGTCAAAGTACCAGCGAATGTATGAATGTATCACAGTGCCACTTGGAAGTCTTAATTTAAAACAATATATCTTCTTAAGCCTCAGCACTCTTCACCCCAAAGTGAGATGTGTTTCAAGTACAGACTTTCTAGCACAGACTGAGTTACAATAAACAGAAAAAATGAAAAGTGAAGTATACAAGAATATTTTTATTCTGATTCCATTTGAAGTCATATGAAAAATGTAGCTATTAAGTAACAGAATCATGCCTGAAACATTTGGATTCAATCCAGCTCTTAAAATGCCAAATTCATTTTTACACATAAAAGGTGTCTGCTTGGCATTGACTTCCTGGATCTCAACAGCAGTTTAGGTGAATGATGGTCAATCCATGCACTAGGTAAACGCACTCATCTGAAAAAGATTAACCCCTCCCCTCATTCCTTTCAGCTCTTCTAGATTAAAAAACTTGGATCTGCACTACAGAGTAACTGCTCTGCCTTCATCTGCATTCCCAGCGCCAACGCCCAGCACCCGGACAGGAGCAGACTAGGCGCTCAATGAACGCTTTAAAATCGAATGAATGAATTTCAACGCTAAGGGCTTTAAAATTCTAAGTTTTAAAACTTTGCTTTTGTTTTTAAATCTTACAACATCTACACAGGCACACCAGCGTACACACTTTCTCCTGCCACCATATTTAAGCAATATCCTCCACCAGTCAAAAAACAGTGACACCTTCTGTCTTTCCACTCCCTTTAAGACATCCATTCTTACCCGGGCGTCTGCCCTTGACCTCATTGATTTTTAGAAAGCGGCCAGGGTACAGCTGACCATAGGTTCCACCGCCATCAGGTGACCGCCACCCAGGCCCCCGCGGCTCCTAAGGAGACCTGCGCCCCCCGGTCCGTTTCTCGCAAACAAAGGCCGAGGGGGAGGGGAAGGAGCGCAGGGGGCGAGGGGCTGCGGGAAGAGGAACTGTAGGTGGCTGCCGGCGAGGCAGGCGCGGCCCCAGCGGCAGGAGCCTGGTGGGCGCTAGGAGGGCTACTTACCGCGGTTTCGTCGCGGTACACGTCGGGGTACTGGAAGGACAGCATGGCCGGAGGCAGTGTGGGGAGCGCGGGGTTCCGAGAGTGGACGCGGGTGGAGCGAGCTGGGCACGGGACGAGGCTGGGCGCGGAGAGGGGCCGAGCGGGCACGGCGGGCCGATGGGTCTCCGCCAGGGCTAGTACGACTGGACGAGCGGCGCCACGGCGAGGACGTGCGGGAAGCAGGAAGCAGCTGTCGGCGAGGCCGGGAGCCCCTCCCCGGCGGGCGGGCCCAGCGGCTGCGGCGGCTGCAAGAGGGAGCGGCGGGCGGCGCCGTGCGTGCGCCTGGGCGGGCGCATAGCTCCCTCTGCAGGAGCGCCGGCCCCGCCGCGCCGCGGCCGGACACTAGGAGGGCTTAGCCGAGTGCGCGCCGCACCTACGCCGGCGCCGCTCCCGCCGGCCGGTCGCCGCGCGAGTGCACGCCGGGTTTGAACCCATGCCGCCCAGTACACGCCAGATCATGCCAGCCTGGGTCACCACGCGGGCACATGGTGGACAGGCCACCACGCCTCCTCTCTCTCACCCTCCACTGCAGTGCTCGCCAAGCTTCCCTCCCAAAATAACATCAGGGTTACTTTAATTGATTCACCCATTTTCTCCAGCCTTGCTACTTCTGGCCTGGGTACGGGCGGTAAAAAAAATATATCTGGCCTCTGCCAACCTTGGGAACAATGAGCTTTTGAGGTGACCTAATTACCGCTCTCTCCTAAGGAGGGAAGGGATAACATACCCTTCACCCTAGCAGGCCAGAGCGGCTTTGGAGGTTCACATTCAGATTATGAGGATGCTTTGAGGTGTTGGTAGGACATTGGGTGGATAAACCCTTGTTCGAATTTTATGAATTGAGAGGACCAAAGTGAAAAATGGAATAGTATCTAGTGCCTATATTATTCCCCCAGCCTGTACCTTCATCCTCTTGTGGAGTCCTTTAGTTATTGAGCCCCTACTATTTTTCCTGTTCCGCTATTTTATAAGGTGTTCCATTGCTAGTCATAAGTGGAGGGTAGGTGAAAAAGTGGAAGATCCCCAACGAGATGTAGTGACAAAGTGGCAGTAGCAATGGGCTCACACGTAGCAGGAACTGTGAGGCAGGCACAGGACCCAGTAGTGTTGGTTCTGTTGGGCATAGGGTCACTGAATCTGAATCGCCTCCACCAACACCACCTTTGTCTCTGTGGGGCCAAAGATAGTAGACATGGTGCTTAAACTCAAACACATGAGAATTTAATAGGAATATATATATTTTATTCATTTGGGGCATGTAGACGATGCATTGTGTTCTGGTCTGATCAGAAACTGGCTGTATCTCATCTGATCAGTAGAGTGCCCACTGTGTTTTGTATACCTGGCCTCTTAAAATTCCAGGGAGATGACAACGGTGTAGCCAGAAGTTCCCTCATGTCATGAATTCCTAGAAGATATGGAGTCCCTGTGTGGCGCTGTAGTATAAGCTCTGGATTACTAACCACAAGGTCTACGGTTCAAACTAACCAGTCATTCCTCTGAAACTGTTGGTGTTGTTGTGGGTTGAGTAGGTTCTGACCCACAGCGACCCTGGCTATGGTTTCTAGGAGTGACTGGTGGGCTTGAACTGCTGACCTTGTGGTTCAAACTGAGTTTGCAGTTCCAGCTCATTAACCCACAGCGCACCATAGGCAGACTCCAGGGCCCCTGTTTGTCAGATGTGACTGGACAGCACTTAACAACAACTAACTTAGAACCACCCATTCAGTACAGTAGAACTTTGAGGGTGAGGGCTGTCAGGGACAGCCTGCGTGACTTTCAGCCTCTCCCCTGTTACCTGATCTCAAGCTTTGTACCCCAGATACTTAAGCAGAATCATCTGCTACCGAGGCAGACAAGTGATCATTTACAGCTACCTGGATGTCTCAGCCCCACCAAGCATTCATTCCAAATATGCAGATGTCTTGTAAAGAGGTAAATGCACAAGGATGCTTCATCAATGGGTTCAGTGGGGGCTGAGCTCCATCCTACTGTCTATTTGCTGCATTGTGCACACAGCATAAGCTACATTCACCTGGAAGAAGGCATGTCATTTTATATTCTCACTGCCAAGGAGCCGCATCTGTTAAGTCACAAGAAAGTGCTGTATGGTTAGCACCCCTTAGAGATGGATGCTCTGAGTTTTACCGGGATCATCTACCCTATAATTCGACTGTGACATTCACATAGTTAACCAGCATACTGACTAATTTGTGAAGGGTAGTCATTTCAGATTGCTTTTCCCCTAAGATTTGTATTACTTTTTCCAGCATAACTTTTTTTTTTTTTAAATAAATGTTTTATTGTCAATTGTGTGATAGTCTACATGGGAGAGCATTAGTTTTAGATTCATGCTATCATACATCATTTCATTGCCATAATTACCATCCTGTCCATGCATCATTACCCAACCAAAGGGTATACCCTGCAAGCCTGCCCTCCACCCCCCATGGTCCTCAGCACACAGCCCCTTTCCCTCTCTGGATCTCAAGTCCCCAGTCACTCCATCTCTTTACGTCATCTTCTCTGCCTTGATTTCAGGCCTCACTGCTTCTCTGGATAGGGTCCCGCTCTCCGCTCTTCTCCATTGATGGTCCTAGGGCCCTCTGCTCCTAGACTGAAAAGTTACTCACTCCCCTCCTTGCTATAAAACGTCCACCTTTACATTTCCAACCCTCACAATCAGTCCTGATAACAATTATTCACTATTGCATCACAAGAGACCCATCCACATTTCATTTCATCAGCCCTTCCTGGACAGACTGGATACTATTCACTGGAGACTCTACCTTCCTCCACACCCTTTGGATCTAGGTTCCCTCTTGAAAGCTTGTAAGCCAGTTGCTTCTTACCTTTGTATCCCTCCCCCCATTTTGGATAGCCAATGTCCAAGTTGCCCATCCCTGTCTACTCTTTGTGTGGAGGGGGTGGGAATAGTTCTTGCAGCAGGGATTTGTTTCCTCTTTTGAGCTACTGCATTTATAGGTGTAGGTCAGGTTTATCAAATTGTATCAGATGACGCTTTTTTCCTCTTCTTTCTTCTTCGGGTTGAGCTCTGTTCATCCAGTCATTGAAGCCAGGTCAAGTAGGTATCATCTGCAAGTATGGGTGTTCTTGCATCTGCCCGCCCTCTTCTTATCAGCTGGTCACCTCACTCTCCATTCTAGTCCTCTGTGGCTGTGCCATTGACTTTGAGCCCATGAGTCCCCAGGTCTTGCCTCACTGCTGGCCGACCAGGTCTCCACCCGGGTTCACAGTAGTCTGCTGAACCATGTAGGGTTAAACTCGCTGCTTCATTGATGTTCTTCGGTCACTTCCCCTTATGGGTGATGTGTGTGGTTGCCAATCAGAGCGTGTATTTCCATTGAGTCTTAATCTTGGAAGTGGATTTGCACTGAGTGGACCCGACCACTTGCCTTGATGTCTCCTGGGCAAGCAACTTGCTTGTTATTGTGGTAACAGTCGGACTGCCCTTATTGTTTTGTATTTTTCCTGTAGGTCTTTCTTTCCAGAAGTATCTTCTGGTTTTCTAGCTGCTCCAGGCTGGTCTGCTTTTCCTTTCAAGTGGAAAATGTCCCATCTCTGAAGGTCTGGATGTGGTTCAGGCTTCCACCTATAGTCTTATGTAATACAGAGGCTCCTCAGGAAACCTCCTTTTCCAGTGTAACTTTTTTGTTGTTTGTTTAAGTTTTTATTGTGAATTGTTTACAGGGCAAATCATCAGTTTTACATTCAACAAATCCTATACTTTGTTTCATTACAGTGATTATAATCCCCTCCATGTACCATCAGTTAGCAGTATTTCTCTCTATTCATTTTAGCTCTTTTTGTTTTTTTAAACAGTCAGGCATATATAATAATTTAAACCACCAAAGGGCACATTGCAAGTCTGCCTCCTGGCCACCAGCTCTCAGTCCCTCTCATTCCACGAATCTAGTCCTCAGCTGCTCCTTCTCTCCATGTCCCCATCTCTGTCTCCATCTCTGGTGTCGCTGCTTCTCTGGATAAGGTCCCTCATTCCGTTTGTGTTCTTCTCCCTTGATGGTCCTAGGGTCCTCTGTTTCTAGACTGTACAATTAACTACTCCCCCGGTTTTTTGTTTTGTTTTGTTTTAGTGTTTTATTGTTATATGATAGTTTACATGAGAGAACATTAGTTTTACATTCATTCTATCGTACATTGTATCATTGCCATGGTTACAATACCCTCCATGCATCATCAACCAACCAAAGGGTATACCCTGCAAGCCTGCCCCTTACACTACTCTCCCCCCGCGTCTCCCCCACCCCAGTCTTCAGCACACAGTCGCTCTCCCTCTGTGGATCTAAAGCCCCCAGCTGCTCCATCGCTCCACGTCATTGTCTCTGCCTCCATCTCAGGCATCACTGTTTCTCTGGGTAGGGTCCCACTCTCGGCTCTTCTCCGTTGATGGTCCTAGGAACCTCTGCTCCTAGACTGAAAAGTTAATCATTTCCTTCCTTGCTATAAAACGTCTACCTTTACATTTCCAACCTTCACAATCAGTCCTGATAACAATTATTCACTATTGTATCACAAAAGACCCATCTGCATTTCATTTAATCAACTCCGCCTAGGCAGATTAGATGCTACTCACTGGAGATTCTGCCTTCCTCCAGGCCCCCTGTCTCTAGGTTCCCTCTTGAAAGCTTGTAAGCCAGTCACTTCTTGCCTTTGTAGTCCTCTGCCCCCCCGCCCCCCATTTTGGGTAGCCAATGTCCAAGTTGCCCATCCCTGTCTACTCTGTGTGTGGAGGGGGTGGGAATGATTCTTGCTGTAAGGACTTGGTCCCTCTTTTGGGCTACTGCTTCCATAGGTGTAGGTCAAGTTCATCAAATTGCATCAGATTACTCTTTTTTTCCTCTACTTTCTTCTTCTGGTTGAGCTCTGATCATCCAGTCGTTGAAGCCAGGTCAAGTGGGTATTATCTGCAAGTGTGGGTGTTCTTGTGCGTATGCCCTCTCTTTTTATCAGCTGGACACTTCACT